CTCATGGCATACCCCAATCGTTCTATAATCAAACCAATATGCAATAACAAATTCGAATTTAAAACGGTTCGAACATTTTTAAAATCGAAATAGATAAAAATATTTATAACAATGTCTGAAATGTTATTAATTTAATACACCTAAGTACTCGATGAAGACTATATCCTTTCCCTCTCCCCCGAGGGAGAATTTCGAAAAATCCCGTCTTATTGTGCATTCCCATGGCATACCCTACTAAAACGCAGATAAAAACGAAAAATCGCATCTAAAATAGTACAGTTGAAGCCGTTTTTCCGGTTAAGCCTTAATACTCTCCCTCTCCCCCACGCGGGGGAATTTCGAAAAATCCCTTCTTAGTGAGCGTTTTCATGACGTACCATAACTGTCTACCAAATTTCACCTCTTTAGGTTCAGCGGTTTGCTCTGGGCGGTGATGAATCAGTGAGTGAATGAATGAGTCAGTCAGGACAAGCAATTATATATATATATATATATATAGAAATAAAGTAGGCTATCGTAAGTCAAGACAATTCAAGATGGCCGACGAATTACACAGTTTATCAAAGATTTGAGGAAAGCACCAATCTTCATTCAAGAAAAATGAACATTGGTGCTTCCCTCAAGTAATTAAACATGTATGATTCGTTCGTATTAAAACCTATCAGAATAAACTTTTCAACCTGTTACTGACCCAATTCCCTTTCACCTTTCTTCATTCGATAAAAACATGATAATGAATGCAAGTTTACATTGCAGTTTCTTAAACACTGTTCCATCCATTTTTTCTTGTAATGGCCTAATTTTTATATTTTTTTAGTTTAGTTTAATAAAATAACAACAGAAATATAATACATTTTATAATAATATTGTATATAAGAGAGAGAAAGTAAGAGAGAGAAAGCATGGCGATTGGTAAAAAAATTACCCCAAATATTTTTACATTTTTGGACTCATAGTGTCTTGAAACACTGAAGAAATGCATAAAATAAAGGTTTTTTCTCTGTTTCTATGTATATTAGTGTATGTGGGGGCGCGATTTTGTTCATAATTCTTNTAAAGGAAACATTTATTTTTATAATGTTTGAATGGGAGAAGATAACTATAAAGAAATTATTTTAAATTTGGTTGAGATTTGCCCAATAGTGTTTTCTGTACAGAGCTCAATTTTGATCATCCTGTATATTCAGAATACAGTAGACCCCCTATAACGCGGGTTCCAATAACGTAGATTCCTATGACGCGGCGAAAAAATTGCGGCAGTATTCGTATAAAGGGACGCATAAAACGCAATAAAACGTCATCGCCATCTCGTCATCGTGGATGAGCAGCCGAAATATTTTCCGCCGTCTAGCGCCACTCTATGGAGAGTTTAGGCAGGTAAGTTAAGTTTAACTATCGTCTGTACAGTATTATATATAAATTATATATAAATTAGGTACTGTACATATAATTATATATTAATTATATATAAATTATGTACTGTATACAGTCGACCCCCCTATAAGATAGAGATACGTTCCATTCTCTAGGAATCCGCTTTCTTACGAATCCTTCCAATCACAACCCGACACGTATCAAGTTTACGGACTACGGCTGTTTGAAAGATTTTCTTCCATAAAATTAATCGATTCTAGACTAATCCGACTCAACATTTCCAAAATACGTATAT